TTCACTGACTAAATGGGGACCGCCTTTGAAAAGGTGGGAGATCTCTATGCTGCCTTTATTCAAAAGCCGTTCCAAATCTGATTGTATATTTTTTGTTGCTGTTTGTTCAGTATTAGCTTTTCCATTTACTGAAGTGCAGTATTTTTCACTTCCGCTATAAGAATCACGCTCTTTACGGAGCAGTTAGGTTATGTCATGCGTATCGAGGAACAGACAGCTTATTTAGAAAAGGAAGTGAAAAATACGAAAAACGAACTGTAAACATGTAGGAGTCGGTATGAACATTTAGGGAAGAGCACTACATACTTATGCTTACACTTGTTGCTCCAGTACTTGTTTATCGTATGATACAACTGAAAATGAACCTAGATTGGAAAAGTCTACAACAGAAATCAATTTAGTATTAAATATGAATTGAAGTATTCGAAAAGGACATTATGGGAGAAAAACTCTACACATCATCGACAGATAGATATGATACAATGAACATTTAATGAAATCGGCAAGGCGTAGGTGTACACGATGATGTTTGTGCATGCAACCGCACGCTCACTATTTGCCTGTTTCACTCGCACTTTTGCTCCCAACCCCACCACACAAGAATCGTCTCAACGCATGTATTGTTGCTGTGGTTGTTGTGGAGGTTGCTGCTGCGAATACATCATCGACTGATCGTAACCCTGAGGCGGATAGCCAGCCGGCATAACTTGCGGTCCACCAACCTGGGCTCCGGGATGCATACCCTGTGGTGGATACCCGTAACCTTGTGGAGGTCCCATTGGCATCCCCATTTGCGGCTGAGAAGTTGGCACAGGAGCTGCTTGAGGTTGCATAGGCATCATAGGCGGAGCCATCATTGTAGGCGGTGTTGGCTGATGTTGTTTCACCGGGTATGGAGCACTTACCGGTGTAGGTGCTCCAGACGGTGGACCACCTTCGGATGAGGGCGTCGGCTGTGCACAGTTTTCATCATTTGGAGCATTCTCGTCCTGAATAATGATACAGTGACAAACAAACATCACAAATGCATCGGCTTATTGTTAAATACAGAGGCACACATCCCTAAATACAGGGCAATTCCCAACAAGGAGGTCACATTTGCAATTGATGAATAATTCAAAAGAGTATTTTTTCCCAAGTAGAGACCTGTAGAGTTGTGATCTGTCGCACCTGAACAAGAGCGCCACCGGTTTTTTTTTTTCGGCATGACCTTGATCTTCGAAACAGGATATTAGAAAAAACCTACTTCTGAACCCACTCAACTTCTCCGTTTGAGATACGACAAGAAAAGTGAAAAATAGAAATGCTCTTTGCTCCTGACTGAAAACCTAACAAAACCTCTAACAACAATCAGAACGACGAGTAATACGCCGCTACCTTTGAGATATCTCGTATGGAAGTTTTGTAGAAACGAATACAGACAGCTCTTTCAAAAACTTGCTGTAAATACCAATTAATTGTCTGTTACACAGAAATTCTTGAGTATTAGTTAGCGTCTGCTGTAATGCGCTCTTGCACATTCTGCAACGCCTCCGCATGGCGTTTAGCTGGATTAATATATATGTGAATGACGCTGAATGCTCCATTTACATTAACGGAGAGGCGAACTTTACCGTTACACGTTAGATACTTTCGCCTCTTAGCTCTCACAGTAATCCACACTTTAGTTAAATGGGATAATTTCTTTGATTCTTGAATTCGGAAGTGGGAGCGCCAGCTTCAGCCGGCTATCATGTCCTTGCGGTGGGGGGGGGAGGGAGGGGGGGAAGTGGGCATCCCGAGTGCACTGAGCCAGATTTAGTATGCTTGGCTGGATTAAGCTCATAGGTGAGTGCGAAAGGGTTGCTGGAGGTGCATGTTAACATTTTGCGTTCTCTTTGGCGTTTCTCCAACCTGCTAGGCCTACCCCACCATGTTTTGTCACCCCCCCCCCCTCCCCCAAGGGGCATGAGCGTCCGCAGTACAAATCACCTTTGTTTCATTGAAAACTATTACGATTAAGGCCTCCATTAAAACGTACTCCTTGCAAATTTGGAGTATGGTTTCCTTACAACCTGGAGAATGGTGGGCAAAAAGAGATAAACCGCATCCTGGGCGGAAAAGTGCAAAATACATACTGACAGAGATGTGTGGGATAAAAACTGACGGCAACAGCCGGAAGATTACAGCAGGTTTAAGAATAATAAGAAAGCGGAAAGTCCAACGACAATGGGGGATAATAACTAAAAATGATATTAAAAGCTCACCCTTAATTGTGGCAAAAGAGACTGATCCGCCGCCTGAGCAAGGTGTATGAGATTTCTGTGCAACAGCTGCTGATATTTAGCCGCTTCTTCGGTGCGACCCTGAAAACCATTTGTGCCTAACAGCGTTTCCGAAATCAAATGTCACTAACTAACGGGTTGCTTTTTTAACTCACCATGCTTAGATAATCCCTTATAGACTTAATTAGCGAGGAATTCTCGTTCAAAAGTGCCTGAACTGTACTGCGATGGTCAGGCACACCCTGACGTACTTCAGGAGGTGCGAAAGCGAGTGACATACCTGGATAAAGAGATTAGGAAATGTCTAGAGGGAAAACGACGAAGAATACCACAAATTAGAATATTCTGTGAGGCTTTCACCTGTCTTGGAGACGAATCCAAATCAGCAATGAACCCTAATCTTTATTCTTCTAAAATTCACCACAGACATCACTTCTTATCACTTATTATACAATCTATTTAGTGCTGACACGAGTCTTCTTGTTCCATGCGAAGTTCGATGCATAATTTTTGGGCAGTATTTTGCGCTCATGCTCTTTCTGAAAAACAAACTTGGAAGAAAGAAGTGGGAGTTGAAAATAGTTGTATGGAAACCAAAACTGCGTGGAATCATATTACCTCTACTTCATAAGTCCATCTATTCTTTACGCAGAAATCGATAGCATCTTCTTTACTAGCGAACTTCAAGTTCATGGATATATTTGACAATGGATCACCTCTGAATTACAACTGATATGCATTACAATAAAATGCTCTGAAGCAGAGCAAACCGCAGCAAACACAAGGTGCGCTACTGGAAACTGTGCAGAAAAAGCATATTGAGTCCTTGCGGACTTGGGCAATGATTACGACAAAAACCTTGTTTGAAGAGACAGAGTGTGACCTTCAGCAAGGACAGGGT